ACACAACAATTCAATTGTTCAGTAAGCTGACTAACGGACAACAATTTAGTAGATAAAGATGGAACAAGTAAAGTATTAGACAGTGTGAGAGAGGATAAGAGTGCAACAGTGCCAGCCCCTGTCACAGGAAAAGTAACACCATTGGCATTTGCAATACAGGTTCGTCGAGGTTGTGTAGTATTCAGAAAATCATCAGGACCAAACGTCATATGATCAGTTGCACCGGAATCAATTATCCAACTCATGGAATCAATCTTAGCAGAAGTATGGAATCCATAACCAGTACCATTACTGGTCATATTGCGTTGTCCTCGATCTTTAAGAGTAGCCTACCAATCGGGATAGCCATGCAATTTAAAACAAGTCTCCCGAGTGTGTCTCGGATCACCACAATATTTGCAATCTGGTCCATGTGTCGGGGTCATTAGTCGAGAAGTCATAATCTGTACAGCGGAAGATGTATAGGATACAGGTTTAGTAGGAATTCGGATTGGGATCTGAGCCTGAGTCGGGGTCGAAGTCGGAGTCGAAGTCAGGATCGGGGTCTGAATCAAAGATAAATTTGGGGTCGGGGTCGGAGTCATCATCGGAGTGGGGGTCGAGGTCGTTGTCGGAGTCGGAGTCAAGGTCGTCGTCATCGTCATAGTCGAGGTCGGGGTCGGGGTCGTCAAAAAAGGATCCTAATTCAGGATTAGATTCGGGGCCAAAGTCTGCATCTGTAGGAGCTGAGCCATCTGGGCACTCAACTCGGCTATGGTTGGTTAAGAAGGAGAGAAGGAGTCGGTGATGCTACCTCCATGAGGGATGAAAAAATCACCAACCCCCATAGCGGTGGTGGGGGTGTGAAACTAGAGTCAGCAATTCCAAGATCGCCGCTCTGATACCATGCTAAAATATGAAAACTATGAGAGAATATTTGTTTGTGGGAATTTTCTGTATATTCTTCTCCTTGTAGGAGGTCATATTTATAATACAACGAAACCTGAATGGGCAAGTAAATAATAAATTCCTAAATCTATTTACAATAGGAAATCAAGAATTAAAGTAAATCAATTATAATTATAATAGGAATTCTTGGTGTGTAAGGAAAGTAAGTCAATATCCACAAGTCACGCCAACAATATTATCTATCTACCAAAGTTGGTACATTTCATTTGTTCATTTGTCTCTGTAATAATATCATCTACCTAAATGTTTGACGTTTGGTGCTTATTTTCTATGAAATGAAACCGAATATTGGGGTAATTTGATAATTACATCCCTACACAATAGTAGACTATGGGGTCATTTACTAATATGACTCATGCAAATTATATATAAGTGACTAGAAAAAACACTTTGATTGGCTTTATCATATAACTTTTGATATGTAGCGTTGCTGCCTACGATCATCTAAGGGCGCAGGGAGTTACCATCCTATCGGATCCATATTCTAATTGAACATCAGATCAAAAGCTAGAAAGTAGAGAGAGAGATGGCAGAGGAAAACAAAGTGACCCTATATGGAATGTGGGCAAGCCCTTATGTTAAGAGGGTGGAATTGGCTCTCAGACTCAAGGTCATACCCTATGATTATGTGGAGGAAGATTTGAGGAACAAAAGCCCATTGCTCTTCAAATTGAATCCTGTTCATCAGAAAGTTCCAGTTCTTGCCCACAATGGAAAAGGAATTGTTCAGTCTCTTGTCATCCTTGAATACATCGATGAAACCTGGGAAACTGGCTCTCGACTTGTACCCGAAGATCCCAAGTTCGCTTCTGGGCAAGCTTTATGCAAAAAGTACATTAACTTTTTTTTAAAAAAAAATTGCTGTTTTGTGCAGGTGTATGAGAGCATGGTCTCAGTTGTCAAAACCAATGGAGACGCACAAGATAAAACCATGAAACAAGTGACTGAGACAATGAAGTTACTTGAAGAGGGATTGAAGGGTTCCTAATTCATTTGACATAAAAAAATGTGGGACTGCTAGAGGTGGTCATTTTTTTTCACATTTTGGCTCATATGAAGCTCAGGAAGAAGCCCTTGGACTGAAGTATATAAACCCTGAGAAGACTCCGCTAATTTATTCCTCCATAACAGCTCTGACTGCAGAGTGAGAAGGTGGTGGCTTTCATCATGAGAAGGTGGTGGCTTTCATCAAGTTCATTACAGGAAATGCCCTCAAATCTTCTGCAGAGTGACCATTTAGTGGTATTGTTGAGTTGTGTTTGCTTCTTGTTGTCAATCACTCTGTTTTCTTTCGTGTTTGTGGCCCGTTTTAGAGTCTCAAATAATGGGAGCAAGAATCCGGCTGCTACTTGGGTTCTGCTGACCAATGTTGACTAATTTGTTGTAGAAGAATAAAACGTACCACGACCTAGCTTTATGTGATTAATAAATAAGAAGATTCACTATTATACTAAATATAAGAGATTAAATTATTTTAAAAAATCCTATATAAGATGTAGTTTATAAAAACACTCCAAATTCATTTACAACGTGACAAAATTTTTTTAAACTTTTTATAAATTAAAAAACTGTCATTTATTTCTTAAAAGCAACGGCCCACTCGAACAAAAAGACAAAAAATTTGCAGAGCCCATACTGTTCGTTCTGATCGACGGTGTTCGACTTCTCAGTCCTCACTCTTCTCTTCTGAAATGGGTAACCCCCACCAGTTCATCATCTTGTTTCACCGGTAAGCCTTCCAATTCTCCATTTTTTTTACTTCATTAGATGGACCTTATGCCACGGAAGTAGCGATAACTTGGATTCTATCTTTCATATTAACGGTGTTCGAAAAATCGGCCTAGGCGGGGGGACAACGCCTAGGCGTTAGATTTCATCCTAATCGTTAAGGGTAGGCACCAGGGAGTTAGGCGGCGCCTGGGCGGGTCGGGTGGCTGCTTCTCTACTCTTCTCGATTTTTTTTACTTCAAGTAGATGGACCTTATGCCATGGAAGTAGCGATAATTTGTTTTAAAAGAAAATTTGGATTCTTTCTGTCATATTAGGATGGTTGGAATGGAAGACATCAAGCAATTAAAATGAGAGAATGAAACCATTGAATTTTAAAGATAGGTTTAACTACACTTTTTGGAATTTGAAGCAGATGAAACCCCAATTTTTTTATTTTTTTATTTTTTTTTAAACTCTTGAGTATTAAAGAAACTAAATCTCCCAGCGTTAGAAATCAAAGGAAAAGATTGTGTTCCTTTATCAAAAGATCTTGTTGGGAAAGGAGAGAAATCAACGTTTTTGGTATTTAGTGAATGTATAACTGCCAAAATGAATAATAAAAAATTTGTCTGGTTCTAAGTTTGTAATGCTTCATTTGAATATCAGAATTGTAAAGTATATGTGGACTTGTGGGAAGTTACTAATTGATTTTTTAATCAGTCAGAATTTGTGTGGGGATGGGGAGCTATTGGGTGAAGCTCCTCACACAAATCAGGTATGATCATAGAGTAAAGATGTTATAGAAGTAATATTCATGGCTAGTGGGTGAAGCTCAAATTTTGGTATGTAATCATATGAATGGCATTTAAATTTAATAAATTCCATGTAAGAAAGTAAATTTTCAAGTGTTGGTCTCTTATTTTCTTGCTAAAGTCTTCCATATCTTACCTATGATGCCTTGGATCCAAATGTGTGGTGTTCTCTCCTCCTCCTTCCCTCGTTTCTATGTTTTTCATTATGATTGGAATTAGGCGATGAATTGTATTTCACACTATTGACCTCTTTAGAACAACTGGTCTGTGTCATCCACATAGTTGTTTTGATTTGATTGTACTTGGTGTTTAGGATTGAGGATGTTCACTGGATTTTAGATGGACATCTCATTCATCCTCCTTGTAGCTCTTCTTTAATTAATAAAATTTGTGTTTTTGAGAAGGAAAAAAAAGGATTGCTTAGTTTGAGATTGTATGTCTTACCCTTTTCTTTTGGCCTTTACATCATTTGCGTTGTAACACTAAGGAAAATAGGACTGCACCTTGTAATAGCCAAATTTTATTCAAATAGGATTGCGACTTCTTAACGTGCATTCCCCCACCCCACTAGTTTATTGTTTTATTTTGTCCCCGAAAAGAAAATTCTGACATGCCATATTTTGATAATTGGTGAATCAGAGGCAGTTAGCCTTTTGGCCTCTAATCTATTTAGTTGTCATTATTCTGTTCCTCTTTCCTTGTAAGCTTTAGTTCTTATTTCTAGGATAATGGTTTGGTTTCAAAATTATAATTTCCTGTGGAATTTGCAGACTATGCTCTATGAATGCTTGAAAGATTTGAGTATGGGAAGCAAATTACAAAATCCAAATTTTCATATTGATATTTCTATTGAGGGAGTCATGCTTAGAGGAGTGGCTGGTGGTATGTACCTTGCTTGTACTTTGACCTTCTTTGTTCTATTGATAGTTCTATTATTGAATTCATTATTTTCTTTTGGGTGATTAATACTTGCATTTTGTTGTCAGGTATTAGTGCATATCTTCTTGTTGGGTAATTTTTCTTTCATTAGGCAGATAGTGGTCAGCACTTATATGAATTATGATCAGATTGTTGTTGGTAGCTTTTGCTGGTCTAACAGTGTATAGAATACTGATTGTTTGTATGTCTCACCCTTTTATTTTTGCCTTTACATCATTTGCTTCGTACCACTGGGAAAATGGGATTGCAACTCCTAATAACCAAAATTTACTCAATTAGAATTGCAACTTCTTAACATGCATTCACCACACTATTTTCTTGTTTTACTTTGCCCCAGCAAGGAAAATTCAGACGAACCATCTTTTGATCTTTAGTGTACTTACTGTTACCTGAACAAGGCTTGACAAGTCAGGTGTTCTGCATGTGAACACTGATCACATAGGTGCACAGGTACAAGCACCATTTATCTTTTGTATCATTCAGGGTTTCTACAATCCTATTGCTGTTTTATCAATGCCCCCTTGACTACCATTTTGGTTAAATGTCATCGAATAACAACTCTCGGGGACAAAATTGAGGGGCTATTGTCAGAAAATTAACTTAAGGAAATTTTGCACTGATTGTTATTTCGAACTGACCTTTCGACATTTTCGGCAAAAAAGGGGAAGGGAAATTCTATATGGCAATTTTCCTTTCAATCTGGTATATTTGATATGGGCCTAACATTCATGAGTAAACTTTGTATACAGTATATGGTTGTATTAGTCATTGGCTGACAGTCAGATGTGATAGCAAAAGGATTTTCTGATTTCAATCTAATGTTTGTAGTGAACTTTAGGTACAATGAATGGTTGAATGCAATTAGTTGCGTATGGATGGCTGAAGATGCACAAGGGATGTTCAGAGGTAGCAGTCCAGCTTCAGATCCTACTTTTATGGTTGTGGAATTTGTTGGAGACCATTTCAAAGAAGGATTAAGAACACACATAAAGTTGCTAGCATGTTGGTAGAGAAGAAGAATCGCCTCCCGAATGGATGCCGTGATAAACTTCATTGATTTTTTATTTTTTTCCTGTCATATCTATTTTGTTCAACTGGTTGGGGTTTTTACATGCATCCAAGTAATAATTTGGACGACAATTTTAGTACTGTTTTCATGTAATATATAGATATACATATAAAGATAATGAAAAGGAGGTTTAATGTTCTTTTTCTTTTTGGCGACCAAATATCATCGAGCCTGTGGGAGGAGAGAATTAAAATTCCTTTTCCAGATTTAGCGACAGTTTTTCATTTCGCTGCAAATACAAGGTTTAGCAACAGTTAGCGACGATTTTTATCGCCGCTAAATATGTTCGGGATTCAAGAACCGTAGCTATAAAGCAAAAAGGTCGTAAAAAAGCATTGTTGTCATATATTGGTTTATATGGTGTTTTTCTTTCTGTTTTCATATAGAATTCTTTCTTACTTCCGCTAAAATGTTATTGGCAATTTGATAAGTAACGGAGAAGCTGCAAAAAACTTGATTCCACAAATACCACATTTCAATACTTGAGAATTAAGTGACAATTGCACTGTTAACAAGCCGCAAAGAAAAGCCAATTATTTGGAGTAAATTCCACATTTTGATGCTTCTTAGTTTGACTTTGGGTTTGAAATATAATTCTTGTAAAATAGATATTAGCATTTTCATGAAAAACCACCTTGGGACAAGAACTTTTTATTCCTAAGTTTCATACAATTGGACTTCATATTTAAATTAATTTTTTAGTTTCGGATTAATAATTTTTTATTAATTCAGATTAGTTTAAATAACTGTTTTTACCAGTTGTAACCCTTCTGATAAGGTTTCAGATGTTTATTTAAGTCTAAAAAACCATCATTGGTTATGTACAATAAAAGCATTATACAAGCACATGCATATTGTCTGAGAGAAAAACAAACAAAGTTCGCAAGATTCTAAGTCCTAGTGCTACAGGGCTTAGAATATAGATAGTTGAATCTTAGGAAACAGTCACTTGTAGAACTTCAAGCACCAAGAAAGGGTGAAATTACTGTCTTTAGGACATTGTATCAAATATGCAAGCCTCTATCTCAAATCCAAGTCAGTTTTCATTTATTTGTTGTTTACTGTATTTCAATTTGCAATTCATTTTAAATTTCAATTTTGTTGGCAAATATATCGTTGATATATAAATATTTTTATCAGTCACTGATTGTTGGTTTTCCAACATTTCTTCACATCCAACAAGATGAGGAGTATTATCTTGCTCAATTACATCAGAATTGTCTATGTTATGTATCTTTTCCATGAGCAATTTGTCTTATTAGAGCATTCACAATGGACTCCCTAAACCAACTCCTTAGACAAATTTTAGGGAGGAATCGTAAAAATGCAACTCCAACCACGCTCCCTATCCACCTCCTAAAATAGGGAGTCCTCTAGGAGCTCCTAAGTCTGATGAGAGAGAAAGGACTCCTAGTGACTCCCTATAATTTAATGCTGCTTTATTTTATGAGTAGTTCAAACCTGTATTTAATGTTAACTATATTTTATTTTATTTTTTAATAGAGATGGACCAATCAAAAAAGAGTTATAGCATTTATGACTCTCCAAATTAAGGAGTATGGTTGGAGTTAAATTTTTTTAGAGAGCTCCTAAAATAGCTTTGTTATATTCTTAGCCAAATTTTAGCTAAGAAATAGAGAGCATCATTATGGATGCGCTTATTCCAAGATATGAAGCTGCCATTAATATTATCACTGATGTTGTTGGGAATACTGAGACCAACCATGTAATAAGTGCTGTGCAAAAGCGAGCTCTTCTTCAAGAAATGGCGCTGAGGCTGACTTAGAAGCTTCCTCTTGCTGCTTGCTGCTCAGATTAGTAATCAAAGTTTTGATTGTATCCTCCTTTTCTTTCATTCGGAAATATTGACATTTTGTGGACCACCATCAATGGAAAGGGAACTTCGCACAGTTTTGTCCATAACGGACTAGGACCAACTGCTATGCATTGTTTTACATTTTACAGCTTTGATTTATAAGAGCATTCACAGTGGTGGTTGTATATCGGGATGTATGTTAAATATACACTTCGAGTCACCGGAATCGTCTCCAATTGGGAGATGTAAATAGATGTAAATATACATCACCACCATGAGGATGTAAAATAAAATGTATATTTACATCTATTTTTACATCCCTTGCAAGCGGAACCCACTCGAGAAAAGAGAAGAAAAATGAAGAAAATTCAACATAAAATGCTAGGACCCACGGCTACACCCCCGAATTTACACCCCTCCATTGGAGCAAAAAACATATTTACACCCCCCGAAGGTGTAAAGGCAGGGGCGTTCCCACTAGAATGCTAACCTGGGCTAAAGCCCAGGTAGCTTTTTTTTTAAAAAAAAGTTAAATTAATACTCTAGCCTAGGTCAAAAAACAATCAAATAAAAAAAGGAAAAAAAAGGAAAAGAAAAATATTGGTTCTTTGCCGTCAATTAGTGGCTGCAAATGGCAACCAATTTTATCATAATTACTTTCAATTTCAAACAAACCTTCATCCAAATAAATATTATTAACTATTCACATTAGGACTAGGCTATTCAAATAAAATATTATTAACTAATCCCATTAGAACTAGGCCGACCAACAAATAAATAAAAAGAACTAAACCCCACACCCCACGTGAAAAAAATTAGACTCCCACTAGGCATAGACATTCCCTCTCTCCTTTACCAAAAAAAAAAAAAGAAAAAAAAAAAATTTCTCTATTGCATCCGTTAGCGGCTAACTCTTGCTCTTCGACAAGAAGGAAAATTATGCATGTCCTCGGAAAGTGCAACTTATATAAGTGAAAGAGAATTAGATGATACTATAGATAATGAATCAATAATGAGTGATTTTAATGCTGTGAAGAATCGAAGGGTGCAACTTATATAAGTGTTATTTGAGGGGTAAGGCTTATTATGTCCCCCCGTGTATTTTTTTTGTTATCAATGAAATTTACTCGTACGGTTGAGTTTTCAATAGGTTTGTATGTAAGCTAAATTTAGCCCACACCATTCTGAAATCATGGGTCTGTCCCCTGTGTAAAAGGGATGTAAAAGTGGCTTTATACCCCCAAATTTACATCCCCCACAGTGGATGCTCTAAGTATGTTTGGATTGAGGAAATCAAGACTTGCAGTTGGGTATCAAATTACATGCTCGCCTCGGTTTTGATGGCAAACTATAATAGAATACTATATATGCTTAATTATGCCATACATAGTTGATGAAACCGCAGGCAAGTTGGGGAGGGGAGAGGACTTGAAATGAAATCAGTCATTACTTGGCTGTCTTGAGAAATCCTTGCTTCACTTTCCTCCATACCCCTTGTCTTGTCACAAAACACCATAGAATTATCTTGGGTGTCTTGACACTTTCTTTGAAAATGCGACTCAAGCTTTGTTTGTAGAAAGGTGAATTGATATATATAATATTTTAATATTTTAATAGTATAGCCGGGCGGCTATATTCGTGACATGTATTTTAATAATTAAGTAGTATAGCCAGACGGCTATACTTGTGAAATTATTCGAATATTTAAATAGTATAGCCGCGCGGCTATTTTAAACCCAACTTTTGTAGCAGCAGAGCCGGTGGTTTCAGGCCGGGCAACAGAAATGTAGTTTTACCGGCACTGATTAAATTTAAACCCGCTGATAATATATACTTGACCAAAGATCCAAGAATGCAAATTATTATCTCACTGTACAAGCATGCTTAAGGAAGAGGTATTGTTGTCAACGAATTCGATTATATACAAATATATAAATTATGAGGATAAGAATCATATATAATGAAACCTTGCTCTAATATTTAACAGCTAGACTTAAATCATTGATGTCCAATGCATGAGATTAGTTTATACAAATTCCCTATTTGATTGGCTGTCATACAGCTTTTCATCTGAAATAATGTAGCGTCACTGCCTACGATCTAATTCTAAAGGAGCAGGTAATTTCCCACCCCACGTCCCTTATGGAATTAATTTCTTGTGTAACCTAATTGGATTAGCTATAGTTTCATCTTCACCAGCCAGCGCGAAAGTAGGTTGGTGATGCTGCAACCTGCAATGGCTATTGCTATATGGAAAAATTAGGTTGGTGATGCTGCAATGGCCATGGCAATATGGAAAAATGGACCTGTCAAGTGATCAAAGCAAACTTGAATGCTCTCAGAAACAAATCACTGCTTTATCTGGTCAATACTTGACCAGGTATGTAGTTGGTATTTGAAAATTTGGAAGATCGAATACATTTCCTTATAATACGATAATATCATTTTCTAGTTGTTAGGAACAAGAAACATATTCTATTGGCTGAGGAGCCTTGTTTGATAGGTACAGATAATTTTTTATGGAAGGCATTTCAGGCAAGTGTTTTACTATCAACTTGTCAGGCAAGCTAAGCAAATGGTTTAACCTATATATAAGCTGCTTCCAATAGCATTAACATCAGATAAAAAAAACTAGAGAGAGAGAGAGATGGCAGAGGAAAACAAAGTGACCCTTTATGGAATGTGGGTAAGCCCTTATGTTAAGAGGGTGGAATTCGCTCTCAGACTCAAAGGCATACCCTATGAATATGTGGAGGAAGATTTGAGGAACAAAAGCCCATTGCTCCTCAAATTGAATCCTGTTCGTCAGGAAGTTCCAGTTCTTGTCCACAATGGAAAAGCAATTGTTGAGTCTCTTGTCATCCTTGAATACATTGATGAAACCTGGAAAACTGGCCCTCAACTTCTACCAGAAGATCCCTATAAACGTTCCCAAGTTCGCTTCTGGGCGATCTATCTGCAACAGGTGAGACTTGAGTTGAGAACAAAAAAAAATTGTACATTTTTTTAGCCATGTTTAGTGCTTAATGAGTTACTCAAGCTAATTAAATTATTGAGGTAACTTGTATATGTTTGTTCTTTGGTGCAGGTGTTTGAGAGCATGGTCTCAGTGCTCAAAACCAGTGGAGAAGCACAAGAGAAAGCCATTAAAGAAGTGACTGAGAAACTTAAGTTACTTGAAGAGGGATTGAAGGGTTTCTTCCCAAATGGCTTTCCTAATTCATTTGACAAAGAAAATGTGGGACTACTAGAGGTGGTCATTTTTTCACATTTTGGTTCATATGAAGCTCAGGAGGAAGCCCTTGGAGTAAAATTTATAACCCCTGAGAAGACTCCACTAATTTATTCCTCCGTAACAGCTCTGACTGAGATCCCTGCGGTGAAAGCGGAGCCCAGTTCTCATGAGAAGATGGTGGTTTTCCTCAAGTTTGTTAGAGGAAATGCCCTCAAATCTTCTGCTGAGTGACCATTTAGTAGTATTACTATTAATTGTTGAGTTGTGTTTGCTTCTCTCTTTTGTTTTGTGTCTGGCACTTTATGGAGTCTCAAATAATGGGAGCAAGAATTCTGCTGCTACTTGGGTTTTGCTGACTAATGTTATCTAATTTGTTGTAAAAGAATAAAAAGATTATTACCGTGACATATCTTCTATAGAATAAATTTTTTTTTTTCTTTTCTTCTTCTTCTTTTTTGACATCTCGAAAAGAAGACTTACAAGTAAACATAATTGGAAAAAACTACAAAATCAAAAGCAAATGTTGTCCTTACAAGAATAAGCAACATAAACTAAATCAACATAAAGAAGGCTAACCTTTCTTTATCTTTTTCCTTGGCTAACCACTTAAAAAATCCAACATAAAGAAGGCTGTCATTTCACAAAATCAAAAGCAAGCAGGCATCACATGCGCTGTTTTTTAATTTCTATGAATGCTACATGCCAAAGTGAAAGAATGGGTTATTCGCAGCAATGGTCCCTCAATTATACCCGTAGTTGCATTTGGGTCACTGAACTCAATTATTAGTTGCAGAGGTCACTCAACTATGTGTTTCGGTGCACCAGTAGTCCTTCCGTCAAGTCCGTTAGTTTTTTCCGTTTAAAATGATGACGTGACAAGCATCTGTGAGAATCTCATAGATTCGTGAGGGGCAAATCTGACTTTTCAATTAGCCTTCTTCAGCTTCTTCAGCTTCTTGGGGTGCCTGGAAGGCTCTTGAGTGCCCCTAAGATATTCAGCTCGGACGCGGCGGCCCTCTGCCTCTTGTGCACATAATATACTAGCCATCCCAAGCCCAACAAGAGCAGCACCACCACGGGCTCTACCCTTTTTTGCAATTCAACACCAGGAGGCTTGATAACATGTTTGAGCTTACCTTCCTGGTTCAATATCAAGAGATGGGTGTACGAAATTCCATTGGAGACAACGGGGAGGCCTTGGGACCAAGACTCGAGCTCTTGATGAGATAAAGCTTTGGATTTTTTGAGCGTGGACTTCTTGGGCACTCGCTTTTTCTCTTTGAAGGTGGCTATGCCGGTGGGGATTTGGGGGAGAGCAATGGAGATTACAGTGAGAGTTACAGAAAGCTTGAGGAAATCGAAATTGGGTTTTTGGTTTTATCGTTTTCATCATTATCATCCGTGGTTGAGGGGTGGGAGGAAATGGAGGATGGAGCGAGAGGTTTTGGTGGGTTTTTATTGAGGGTTTTGGGGATAGAGAAGAAGATGAGTACGAGCCCAGAAGGCATTGGCATGCCATGGAGTTTTGGTTTGATGTGAAAATATTGGGAGGTTGGAGTAGACTTGGAAAGACAAATTTGCCCGTGAAATTGACACCACATTAGCCAGACTTGACGGAATGACTACTGGTGCAATGAAACACATATTTGAGTGACCTCTGCAACTCATAATTTAGTTCAGTGACCCAAATGCAATTACGGGTATAGTTGAGGGACCATTGCTGCGAAAAACCCGTGAAAGAAATATATGATTCATATGTGACACCCAATCACAATCATGCTACAGTAACAAGACCCAAGGCACCTCAATAATTATATATTCAACCCCCACCCACCCCTACTTCCCCACTGCCTCCAGATCAAAACTCTATCTCTCTCTCTCTCTCTCTCTCTCTCTCTCTTCAGCAAGCACAAAACTGAAACCAAGTCTCCTCCTCTCTACCCCTTAGCAAATTCCAAACAACACCTCAAATCTCTCAACCATCATGCCTAACGATCAACTTGAGGTACATAATTTATACATTGCAATACATGAATTCTTTTTTCTTCCATTTTTGACATTTCTTGCTTACTAAAAGGAATATTGATGTTGTATTTTGCAGATGAAGGCCATGAAAAAGAAAAAGAAAAAGAAGAGGCATGGTATCATGGGTTAGTAGAAAGTTGGAATGGGTGGAATAGGTAAAAAGAGGTATTTTACATCCGTTGTTTGTTGCTTTGTGATATTACACTTTTGGAATGTGTTTTTATCCATTTTAGCCTAAATTATGTTTGAAACTCAGATGTATATATATTCCTAACTCTTGGAAAAACCATTGTAGAGGGAAGTGATGCATCACGTGAAGAAAACGCAAAGGTTATAATTTTTCTTAATCGTCACATTCATGAATCGTTGAAGAGTGAATACGTGGCAATCGATGACCCATTGGTTCTGTGGAAAGCCTTATGCAAAAGATACAATCACCAGAAAATAGTGATCCTCCCGAGAGCTAGATATGAATGGACACACCTGAGATTCCAAGATTTCAAGTTAGTGTCTGAGTACAACCCATCAATGCACAAAATCACCTCCCTGATGAACTTATGTGGTGAAAATATTTCTAAGGAGGTTATGCTTGAAAAAACTCTGAGTACCTTTCATGCCTCAAATGTGCTCCTGCAGCAATATAGACATAATGGTTTTACGAAGTACTCAGAACTGGTATCTTGCCTTTTGTTGGCTGAGCAGAACAATAAGCTTTTATTTAAAAATCACCAATCTCGCCTAATAGGCTTAGCACCATTTCCTGAAGTAAATGATGCATCTCAGGAAGTGAATGCCACCTCATCTTGTGGTAGTTCCCACAGACGTGGGCGAGAAGGCAAGTGTGGCCGCTGGCAAGGGAATAGAAAAGACCGTTGTGCCCTTTCATATGGCTTAGGTCCAAGGAGTAATTCATCCACGAGCGGCAAAAATGCATCCAGGAATAAGGGGAAAGCGCAGACAAGCCATGTGCCTAGGTCATATGTTCAAACCTCACTTTCGTCAATATTATTTGTATAAAAAAAGGGCAATGATTTCCCCACTCCTATTTTATCCACTTACACTCCTTTTTTTAGTTATAAAAAAGGAGTGTAAGTGGATAAAATAGGAGAAAAAGGAGTGGGGAAATCACCACTTTAAAAAATAATACAAATACTCATAAAATACATACTTAAAAAATCCTATCGTATGTTGACAATTGACATTAACCCGATGCGTTGTTGGTCAATAAACTTATCAATGCTTCTATCTGGTCAATAAACTCGACTGCTTTCCTTATTGAATGCTCTAAGAAACATATCATTGCTTTTATCTGGTCAATAACTTGACCCGGTATGTAGTTGGTAGAGATTTGGAAGATAGAATTGATTTCATTGTAATATGATAATATGATATTCTAATTGTTAGGAACAAGAAAATTGTTTAGCCATTGGAGTTTGTAAACTAGTAACTACAATCCTATTGGCTGAGGCGCCTTGGTTGTATCAGAAGCTAGAAAGGAGAGAGAGAGATGGCAGAGGAAAACAAAGTGACCCGTTGTATCAGAAGCTAGAAAGGAGAGAGAGAGATGGCAGAGGAAAACAAAGTGACCCTATATGGAATGTGGTCAAGCCCTTATGTTAAGAGGGTGGAATTGGCTCTCAGACTCAAAGGCATACCATATGAATATGTGGAAGAAGATTTGAGGAACAAAAGCCAATTGCTCCTCAAATTGAATCCCATTCATCAGAAAGTTCCAGTACTTGTCCACAATGGAAAAGCAATTGTTGAGTCTCTTGTCATCCTTGAATACATTGATGAAACCTGGAAAACTGGCCCTCAACTTCTACCAGAAGATCCCTATAAACGATCCCAAGTTCGCTTCTGGGCAAGCTATCTGCAACAGGTGAGACTTGAGAACAAAAAAAAAAAAAGTGTACCTCTTTATAGCCATGTTTAGTGCTTAACGAGCTACTCAAGCTAATTAAATTGTTAAAGTAACTTGTATATGTTTGTTCTTTGGTGCAGGTGTTTGAGAGCATGGTCTCAGTGCTCAAGACCAGTGGAGAAGCACAAGAGAAAGCCATTAAAGAAGTGACTGAGAAACTCAAGTTACTTGAAGAGGGATTGAAAGGTTTCTTCCCAAATGGCTTTCCAAATTCATTTGACATAGAAAATGTGGGACTACTAGAGGTGGTCATTTGTTCACATTTTGGTGCAAATGAAGCTCTGGAAGAAGCCCTTGGAGTGAAAGTTATAACCCCTGAGAAGACTCCACTAATTTATTCCTCCATAACAGCTCTGACTGAGATCCCTGCGGTGAAAGCGGCGAGCATTCCTCATGAGAAGGTGGTGACTTTCCTCAAGTTCTTTAGAGAAAAGGCCCTCAAATATTCTGCAGAATGACCATTTAGTAGTCTTAATTGTTGAGTTGTGTTTGCTTCTTGTTGTCAATTACTCTGTTTTGTTTTGTGTCGGTGGCACTTCATGGAGTCTCAGATAATGGGAGCAACAATCCTACTACTTGGGTTCTGATTGCCAACGTTATCTAATTTGTTGTAAAAGAATAAAGTGATTGGTACCACGACATATATCTTATAGAAAGGTGAGAATGGCGTTGTGCGGGTCTCACTTTTATAAGCAATGTGATTAATAAACGTGATACATGCAATATATCGTTATAAAAAGGCCTACGACCACATCTCGATGTTATACTTCGATTTCTTTGATTTTGTTGATGAAACTTAAATCACGAAGCTTGCATGATTACTGCAAACCAAATCAGCCAAATACCAAAAGTGATGCTCTTTCGTCAAACAAATATGTTATATTCAAATATAATTTCATGCTTTCAACTCTAAATATTGTAAGCATGGTAAACGCTAGATCCTCTAAAATGACAGAGCATTTCCAAAAAACTGAGGTCGTGACATTGCAGATTTCTGACTGCAAAAAAGAAAATCACTAAGACGATGTCGTGTCTTCCCTATCGGAATACAAAGAACAGTAGGGGTAGTCTTGACTTTGTCTTTGTGTACGTTGTATTTTTGTTTAGTTCCACATTTTTTTTATTTCCTCTTTCCCCATCCAACGATCCAAAACTAATCCCCAAAACCAGAGGCCCATTTGACCCAAGAGAAAAGAAAAACCAGCCGGAGGCCATACTGTTCGTTCTGATCGACGTTGAACTTAGGAGTACGCTTTCTCACTCCTCTCAAATGGGAGCTCACAATTCGTTATCTTTTGTCACTGGTAAGCCCTCGAATTCTGGATTTTTCCACTTCAATTAGATGGATATTATGGCATAGAAATAGCGATATTTTTTTTAATTGAAATTTTGATTCTGAAATAATAGGGTGGTTGGAAGATATCAAGCAATTACAATGAAAGAATGAAACTTTAATCTTCTTGCAAATTGCAACCATTGACTTTTATAAGTTTGACTCTCCATGTTTGGAATTTGAAGCAGAAGAAAACCTCAATTTTTATGTTTTTTTTTATAAAATTCTTAAGTGATAAATATTCTGTTTCTTTGTGAAAAACTATTGTTGGGAAAGAAAAAAAATCAAGGTTTTTGATATTTAGTGAATGTGTAATTGCATATGCCAATTTGTATATTAAAAAAAAATTATGGTTCTGTGTTTGTAATGTTTTGCATGGAAGAATTGTAAATATTTATGGACTTGTGGGAAGTTATTAATTGATTTTTTAATCAGTCAATGTACTTTGGAGGGAATTTGTGTGGGGAGCTATTGTTGTGGCATATAGGGAAGGAATGATGCATCCTGTTGAGACCATAAATACGCGTATTTGGAGCCATGCTAAAGATGTTGTAGATGTAATATTCATGGCTAATGGGTGAAGCTCAAACGTTTGGTATGTAATGATATGGATGGCATTTAAATTTATTTAAATTCTATGTAAGAAACTAAATTTCCAAGTATTGGCCTTCTATTTTCTTGCTAAAGTCTTTGCATATCTTACCTGTGAAGCCTTGTATCCAAATGTATGGTGTTCTCTCCTCCTCCTTCCCTCTTCTCTATGTTCTTCATTAGGATTGGAATTAGGCAATGAATAGTATTTAATCTAAGACTATTGGCCTCTCTAGAACAACTGGTGTGTATCATCCACATAGTTGTTTTCACTTGATTGTACTTGATGTTTAGGATTGAGGATGTTCACAGGATTTTAGATGGACATCTCATTCGTCCTCCTTGCAACTCTTCTTTGATTAATAAGATTTGTGTTTCTTATGAGGAAAAGAAAATGAAGAAAAAAAAGAATTTCTTAGTTTGAGGTCGTACCATGAACAATCCAGTTTTACCATAAATAGCAATAGTTTGTATGTCTTACCCTTTTCTTTTGGCCTTTACGTCATTTGGTTTGAAACACAAGGAACATAGGATTGCAACTTCTGAACATGCATCCTCCCTGGCCTCACTAGTTTATTGTTCTATTTTGTCCCAAAACAGAAAATTCAGACGTACCATATTTTGATCATTGGTGGTATGTACCTTGCTTATACTTTGTCCTACTTTGTTCTATTCATAGTTCTATAATTCATTTCAGTATTTCCTGTAGGGTGATTTATACTTGCATTATCTTGTCCAGGTATGCATATCTTGCCACTCCGTTAGATGTGATCATGTGATCAAAATAAGATTTCAACTGCAGGGTAAGACCTTGAGGTATCAATTCTGTTTTTTGGATACTTTTATCGTTATTTTCAGATGAATTTCAGTTGTCAGTGTAAGACTAAATTTGCTGCAAGCATCACATGCTGTATTGTGATGTTAGTGTACTTAATTTCACCTGAACAAGGCTTGGCACTTGTATGCAGTCAGCTGTTGGGCGTGTCAATACTGATCACATAGGTGCACAGAGACAAACACCAGTTATCCTTACAATTCATTGAGTGGTTTTTTACAATTCTATAGCTGTTTTATCAATGTGCCATTTTCCAAGTTATTTCATTCTTTCTGATATGGAACTCATTGTTGTTGCATCCTGGATTTCATCTTCATGGTCTGCCCTCATTGGTGTGTTATGCAATAGTAGTGGTAGACTGAGAGTAAATAGCTTCTTTTCGTTGAGTATCTTATGGTTGTAGCTATTATCTCCTGCGGTATGATGCAGCTATTCTTCATACTTCATTTGCAAGGCTTCTGGGTCACCCCAAAGCATCTTCTACTGTAGTACATCTAAAGACTCTTTGAGTACAATTAGTAGCCGATTCATTGCTGTGTCACACGAATTATTTTAATATTGCAGTTGCAACCTATTAGGTGATCTGCAGGAAATGTTAATTCTTGATCTTTCTTATACTCTTCAAAGAATCTAGGCTTGTTTTCCAATTTCTTTTCAATTTTCATATATAGTATATGTATGACTACTTTTCATATTTGATGGAATTTGACAATCCTTGATAAGGTCCATAACATTCATCAATTAGAGTTGAAGGAACGTGTCAGCTGTTGTGCACGTCCACACTGATCACATAGGTGTGCAGATATTAACACTGTTTATCCTTTATATAATCATCGAGGGGTTTTCTGCAATTCTATTCCTGTTTTATCAATGTGCCATCTCCCACCATTTTGGTTAAATTTCATCACCAGATAACATACTATTTTAAATCTTGGCAACAAAGTGGTCGGGCTATAGTCAGAAAATATACTTTGGAAATTTTGCATTGACACTAATCCTATAACATGTTTACCAAGATGGGGAAGGGAATTTTAGAGAGCATTTTTCCCCTGGTATATTCGGCATGGGCCTCGCATGCATGTCTTGAATTTTTCTATGGATCTATTACTCATTGGATGAAAGTCAGAGGTGATAGCAAAGTTGTTTTTCAGTTTCTATCTAATGTTGTTGTGAAATTTAGGTAGGAATGGCTGGTTGCATGCAATTTGTTGCATATAGAAGGCTGATGATGCATAGGGGATGTTCAGAGGTAGCATTCCCAGGATTGGAGAGTTTAGTCTAGCTTCAGCTCTTCACTTTACGGCTATTGAATTTTCTCAGAGATCATTTCAATGAAGGATTGAGCAATGACAACACGCAAGAAGTTGCTAGCATGTCAGTGGAGGAAATACTGGGGAATTTTCATGAATCCAAAAAATAATTTGGACAAGACTTTTAATAATGTTTTCTTGTAATATGTAATATGTTAGGCATATAATGATATTGAGGAGGAGGTTTTTGGTATTGCATTTTTCTTTTGCGCTTCCCGGAACCACTAGTTTTGGAAGTGGGTGGTGAATTAAAATGTCGTCAGACTTTTAGCCGCGGTTTTTGTATTCGCTAGTATAAGTTGCTATAGCGACAGCTAGCGACGGTTTTTACCGCTGCTAAATACACTTTTCCGGGAAAGAGCAAAAAAAATCGTTACTAAAAGCCCCAAAACCGGGACTAAAGACCAAAATCCGTCACAATATAAAGAAACTGTTACATATGCGCTGAAAATGGTGGCTTTGTTTCTGTTTTATGTAGGCTTTCGTTTTACTTCCTCTAAAATACAAAGGGATATTTGGTAAGTCACATAGAATCTGATTAAACTTCATCGCTCCAATGCAATCCAACATTTGCAATGATTGAGAACCATATAGAATTGCAAAGTTAAGGTCGTAAAAACTCCAACTGTGTTGTATTTTCAAGGACTTATGTAGTTCTTAAACATATCATTCTTCTCAGCTTCAGAAACTTAAAAGCACCAAACGTTATGTATTTTTAGGTAAAAACTCCAATGCGTTTTATCAGTGTTCATTTGCCAATATGTATTTTCGGATTAATGTTGGAAAATTAGATGGGCTTGCTTGCATAATGGCTCTGCTTCTGTGGTTCAAACGTGAATGCTCTGCATTATTAGGTAACACAGCTCAGAAACACTTTTTGTGGTAAGCTTTCCAATTTGTTATTCTCCCAATTAGATTGTTTGGCTTCGAATGGCCTACGAACAGCAACAAATTGAAAAAGAAAAGGAAATTTTTGCTTGACATTTGAGGATATTTGGAAGACATCAAAGTCAAAGCATGAGCTAACATGAAAAGACTGGAACTCTAGTCTATATTCTTCCAGCCAGATGCAACCATTGCAACTTGTTGCAGCTGAAATCAGCAATTTTTAATTTTCACTAAAGAAAGAAACTAATTCACTCGGTGACACAAAAGCAAAGCTATGAAAACATTTGCTTTCCTTTTAAGCAAATATTGTGGGAAACACAATGGAAAATCAAGGTTTTCAATATTTATGGGATGTATAGGATGCCTTTATTTACTCTGTCTGCATGTGCCCCAACCAGACAACCTCAACCATATGAGAAACCCTTGTGTGCTCAGACATACAAACTTGTTGGTTGGGTTGTTAAGTTTCGAATGTGCTGTGCTAGCTGTATATAAAACTTGATATGTATTTGAGTGCTCTTTTCTATATCTGGACATGGATCTTTTGTTCTTGTTGTTATGATGTAGATGGATGTCCTTTTAGGCTTTCAGTGTTGGTCTTAACAACTTGAATTGTTGTCTGACCCTTCAGCCATCATGGGAACTCCAAAATGCAGGTGTTCATTCCTTTTACTCTATGCATTTGAGCATATACACTCGGTTTTTCCGAAAGTAAATTTCTCACGTGAACGAGTAATTATTTGGTGTGACCGTAACACAATTATCAATGCACTTATGCTATAATAAAAATAAGCTTACTAATATATATAATCTAAAGCATAAATTCCTGGCCCATTAATTTTTTAACGCAATGGTAACAAACAAAACGCTTTGAAGATTTTTCTTTCGATAGATATTTAATTCCAAAATCAACATAATTTTGTATATTAAAAAAGTGCTAAAAAGATTTAGAATGGGCCGCGGATAAAAGAAAAGATGGTAGAGTTTTAAAACATTTGGCCTGGCCCAAATTGCTTCTACAGGCTGGTCAACGATCTACCTTTCTTTAAAAAAAAATTATTACATGTCAAGAGATGACTGGTTTAATGTCGGTACTATACTTTCGACCGCCGTAGCAGATTATACACTCCCCAAAACCCTACCCCTTTTGTTCTCTCTCTATGCATTCGCACCTTCATTTCGGAAAGCCTAATAAGAGCGAGACAGAGGGAGCGGTAGGGTTTTAGAGGAGCATCAGAAGGGAAGTTGAAGATGGTGGCTGATAAGGGCAAGAAGCTGAAGCTTTCAGAGAAAGCCGAAGATGATAACTCGGACCACATCGACGAGAAGCTCGTCCTTTCCATCGAAAAGTTGCAGGAGGTCCAAGACGAGCTCGAAAAGGTTGTACCTCTATACCTATCTGCGCATTAGATTATTGTACCCTTGTTCCCTGTACAATTGAGGCAAAATAAGGGTTTTTTTCTGAAGTTTTCTTTGGGAATTATCTGCCCATTCAGAGCTTTTCGTGTTCTTATTGCTCTTGAATTATTAACTTGCTCAGGTAGGCGCATTGAATTCAATTTTTTCAGCCCATGCATGAGTTGCAGTGCAATTTAATTTTATTATGAGGATGTAGGAAATTAACCGATAGGAGGGAATGATTTATGGCTTTGATAAAAGCCTAAAGCCATAAAAGGATCTGAAGGTGTGCTTGGTTTCGGTAGAAAATCAGTGCCTTAGCTTATTAGAGCAACAACATTGCCATTTTTTTTTAAAACCATTGAGGGGCGCTCCATTATATAGGCATCCGTAGGCAGCGGCCCCGTGCTTCATTTTGTTGTTTGTTGTAACACACTGGATACTCGGTATAATTGTTGCAACTGTCAACTCTGATGTGTTTCATTTTGTGAAGTTTGAATTGCTGCTTTTGGTAATTAAATTTTCTCCTTTGTTTGACCTTCCATAGGTCTGGTTTATTTCAACTAGAGGGAAAAAATAATAGAGAAAGGAAGAGAACATGAACTTTACTGTTTTCGTGTGTTTGATTTGGCAGAACCATACTTAGGCTAGTGTGAGCTGCAGCCCCGTACAAGTTTTTGGAAAACAGAAAACTTGGTGCTAATTTTTAGGAAATTCACCCACTTAGTGGAAGTTGGCCCACCCCGCTTAGAAAAAATTGGCTCATTCCATCCGAGCAACTCACAAGGAAAAAAAAGTTTTTAGCACACCCGTGTGGAAATTCTTGGTTCCACCTTTGCATGAAAAAATTGATGGGAAAGGAAAGAGAAGAATATACAATTTTGGTAGCTTTGGTTGGACGAGACCTATTGAAATCTTGCCTACTTTGAAAAGAAGTTAAAGAGGCAAAATCGAATAAAACCTTGACATCATTGAAAAAGTGTATAACAGCTCACTATTCGAGGTTCTTGCACCAGACATGAACGGGGCTAAGTAACATTGTCCTAGTTGCGGGACGGGATCCGGCAGCCAGTTGCTGGCTCTTGATAACTAGCCCAGAAATAACTCCAATTTCCATAACATGACGAGCCAAGGTTGCACGTGAGCTGAGTGATGTAGGTGCACAAGCTATCATCTCCATAAGCAAAATAGAGTTATTTTTCTTCCTTTTCTGTTCCTTGTCATTTTCTTGTTAATTAATAACCAAACAACCGAAAGTTAGGAAGTTTAGTCGTTTTCTTTTCTTGTCGTTTCTCAACTGGTTAACTGAACGGAGCCTGATAGTATGGAAACCACGCTACATTTCCACTTTGTGGCCTTGTTTGTAGGCTGGGCATTTTATAAATATGAATGTGATGGAAGTCACTTTTTAAGTTCTAAAACTAGTTAGTTAAACTTCTATGGTTCACGTATTAAGAATTTTTTGCACACGAACTTGTACTGATATTCAATTTATGTATTATTGCAAATTTGCAACGGACCAACTGTTTTCATTGGATTTTTTTGTTTTCTTTTGAATGTTTTATAGATCAATGAGGAAGCCAGTGATAAAGTCCTGGAAGTGGAGCAGAAGTATAACGAGATACGCAAGCCGGTCTATGATAAACGAAATGATATCATCAAGTCCATTCCCGATTTTTGGTTAACTGCTGTTAGTTATCTATCCTTATTTATATCTGAATGGAAGAATTTATGATGTTGACTTTTTTTCCCAATTAATTGACTTGCTCCTTAATCTACAGTTCCTGAGTCATCCTGCGCTTGGTGAACTTTTGACCGAAGATGATCAAAAGGTTTCGTATTTGTTCCCATATGCGCCAGAAATTAATTAGTGCATCTTTCTCTTTATAACTATTTTTTTATTACTCTGCAAATAATAAATATCTGTTGATGATCATTGAATTGCATAATCAGTTACTTACATTCCCTACCTTATCTTCCATAATCAATGAAATCATTGATATTGTTTCCATGTAATATTTCAAATTGGCTTCTTGTTTCGTCAATCTTTTCTATTATGTCTGGGTTCATTTTTCCTTTTCCTTTCATAGATTTTCAAGCATCTAACTTCTCTGGAAGTGGAGGATTTTAAGGATGTGAAGTCTGGTTACGCCATTACTTTCGTGAGTTTCTCCTTTCCTTTGCCGTTTTATCTTTGAATTGCATTTGGGTGTGTTACATGTTATGTTTCAATTATTGAATATTTGAGATTAACTCAATTTTGTTATTTAATGTACAGCATTTCAGCCCCAATCCTTATTTTGAAGATGCAAAGCTTACGAAGACCTTTACTTTCCTTGATGAAGTAACAAAAGTTTCTGCCACATCAATAAAGTGGAAAGAGGGAATGGTATAAGATTTTTGTCTTGTATTCAATTTATGTCTGCCTGTCAATTCGGGGTATTTTAACTTGCTGTGTACCTAATATGTGAAGGGCATACCTAATGGAGTTAATCATGATAAGAAAGGGAACAAGCGACCTCAGGCTGAGGAAAGGTTGGTTATCCAGATCTGTTAGAATGGACCTCTAGAATTACGTTATCCTTCTGTATGCTTATTTCAAATTGACTGGAATTCCAATCCTCACGCTATTTTATTGTTTTCATGTAGCTTCTTTAGCTGGTTTAGTGATAGTCAACAGAAAGATATTTTGGACGATGAGATCCATGACGAGGTTAGTTTCTTTTTGCATTTGAAGATGGTAACAAGTGCTTCGTATCAATCTCAATATTGACCCAGACAATCTTTCCTTAGTTCTTCTTACTCTTATATGGAGGCTTTTGTGACTTTCCCTTCATACTGCAGATTGCGGAGGTTATTAAGGAGGATCTGTGGCCCAATCCTCTTACTTATTTCAACCATGTAACTCCTCTTTTACCTTATTTCCCTATTACATAAGCATAAGTCTAATTATTTCTTAGAAGCATTTACTGTTTGCCTAATTTTCTAATGAGTTCATGACCTCTTTGACATAGGAGGCTGATGATGAGGATTTCGATGATGAAGAGGCTGATGAAGAGGTAAATACAGATCCTTTTGGTTTATCTGTCAAGCAGAGTAAAAATACTCTAAACATGGATAACCTTTCTACTAAATCCAAACCTTAAATCTGTACTTTCTAACGCCTTAAAATTTGTGGTATACAAGAAGATGCTGAGGCCGGATATTAAGTACTGCTGTGTGATTTAAAAAAGAAAATTGTTATTGTTATTTTCACAATTGCATGACTTGGATCATTATTATCCATCGCCACGACTTACTTTAATATAATAAGATATGTTCAAATTGAATTGAACCTCATATACAGGATTCCATCAGGTTCAGGCCTTTTGCTTCTTAAAGTAGTTAGTGGTCTAGGATAGGCTTGTGGCATCTATACTTGTTGTGTTTGGCATCCTTGTACAAAGTGAATTGACTACTTTCAGTGAGCTGCTATGACCGATATTGTATTTCACAATTCCTGCATTGCTACATTCATGTGTGTATGTTTCCTTTTGAGTCCTAGTTCATACATGTAGTGTTGTATTACCTGGAGGCATATGTAAATTGATGGTTTTTGTGCAATTCTTGTGGTTAGATGAACTTAAATGCAAGGAGCTTGTTATTGACTTGAAAATGGAGATAACTTGCACCCTTGCAAATAATTTTATTAGTTGAATATATGTGGTTATTTACTTGCTTTCATCTGAACCTCGCTCATATGCTGCCCTTATCTATCTGTTACAAATCTCATAGAAATTTTAGCAGGAAATTCCCTTGTCTTAATTCTTGAGGTTTGCCTATTGACAGGGAAAGAATGAGGATGATGACTCTGAAGAAGATGACGATGACCAAGAAGATGATGAAGACGGTGATGAGGATGATGGAAAGTGAGAACATCCGTCTCGGTCTTCAAATCTTTTGGCATTTGCTGCGTTGTTAACAGCTTGTGTAAAGTGGTCTACAGTAGTCGATAAGTTAAGTCTAAGGTGACAGGGGGATGACCATCATAACTCTTTCTTGACAGCGTCCTGCCATCTAGGCACTTGACTGCTCTCATAAGCCAGTCACTGGTTCTTGTTTCATGGCGTTTCTCTGTTACAATGGGGTTATTTTTGTGGCTTCTCCCTGATATGCAGGTCTCTAGAATGACAATATTATAAGGGTCTTGGCTTTCTTTTGTTTCTAAATGACATGAATGAGGATATATGGTATTATGGAGTTGAAAGCTCATTGGCATCATTTTATGGTTGACTCTACTAGTAGGGATTTTCATTATCGGGTATCAATTTTTAGAGAAATTCTTACTCTGCCAGAAAAAGAACAGGAAAAGGTTTCTGCTGGTCTTGGAAACCATGAATGCTTGACAGAGTTTTAATTCAGAGTAGATAAACAGTGACGCCTGATGTTTTTAACAGGCTTTGTGCTCGAACTAGACATAAATATAGAGAAAAGTAGGTTTTCCATTAATTTGTTGGGAAATGACCCTCAGTGCCACCCCTTTGATAATTTTAACTAAAAATACCATCCCTTCCCAATTTTTTTATAACTATCAACTATAAATATAAAATTATTGTACCCTTATTGCTCTCCTAACACATTTTCTGAAATTGACCTCCCGCCCATCAGCTCTCCGTCGCTCAGTCTCTTCATCTTCACTCTCTGGTCACTCTGCTCTCACTCTCTCGTCTCTCAGCTCTAACTCTCTCATCTCTCGTCGCTCAGCTGTCACTCTC